TTTTACCGGCATTTTGTTTTGTTAAGTGACCGTCTACTTAATGTGCCCATGACGATGTACATCTGGCTGATCATTTATATGACACTGTTTAGTTGTCTCTATTTGAGTGAGTAACATGCACGATTTTCAAGAATGGCGAACCTAAAGTCCCTTCGCAATGTGAATTGTTACGTATAACATTGTGACAACATAATCATACAACATTTTCAAATTTCATTTGAATTTCTGTAAATTAATAAATGGTCTCAACTAGCAACTTTTCTACATCAAGACACATTTTGCGATAACCTCAGAGGCGGAATCCCTTCTTAGACAGCAACATCCTTGGAAAGGGTATTTAAAGGCAGGGTACAGCATCGTTGTGTGAAACACATGAGAAGTCGTACTTTTCCGCTGGGTGGGGGGGGGGAGTCGTATGTGGCTTCGAGAAGAAGTGGTAGGAAGTTGGAGAAAATCTAAGAAATTCTCCCGTTTCACATTCGCTACACCCCTGTCCCTCGACAGAAAATTTTTGGGTGAAAAACAGGAAAATGTGGGAAAGTAGGTAGGTGTTGGGGAAGGGAAGGGGGTCGTGTCGACCCTCTTTGAGGTGGGAGGATCGTCCTGACACCACCACTTCACACATCACAATGCTGTATACTGTTCAAAGGACTTCACATGAGAGGGAAAGGGAAGTGGATTAGAGTGCAGACACCTTTTTCACCAGTTACTTCCATCCTTAATTCGCAACAATTGGTGGAAAAGGCTGACCCAGTCCACGCCTCTCTTACGCTCCCTCGTTTGTGGGGGGATGGCTGTAAAACGAAGTCGGACAAGACAATCGTAATTGGTCGCGTCGTCGCGAGCCTATCGTGCGCGACAATTCGGCAGTGTGCATCGGTTTGTCGAGTCGAGCGGCGGAATTCATAATCCATAGAAGGTTCCATAGTGGGCCATATAGAATGGCTCCGCACGGCGAGTCAGGAAATCTCGTCCGCAGGGCGTGGCGTCGCTCGCCGCGCCCAATGACGCGGCATATCACGATTGTCTTGTCACATACCCGGCTATATCAGCCCGGAGCAGTACCACCGCGCTCACAACAGATACCACTGACATTCTCCCTTTAACGGCCGAGATATGAACTGCACATGCAGATCATAAATACCGTATCACCAATCAGAACAGTTCTACCAATACCGTAACTCTTCTATCTACACAACAGCAATTACAGAACATCCGTGTGATTTTCTTTTCCCTGTCGTTACGCCTGCTCCAGTTAGTTGTGTTGAGAATAGCAGTAGATTGCTGATAAGCCAGAAAAGAGAAGTAGCTGAAATACTTCGGCATTTTCAGAAAAACCAAATCCGACTGGTTTCCAATGAAAGCTTTTCTAGGAAATTTACCGCAACAACGAAGTGACGATCAATTACGGTGCAACCAAAAAATGAAATCCCATAAGTTTTCTGTTGTACATAGAGCAGGTGTAGTGAAAAGAGAGGAAATACCTAAACAGATTGCGGCTACTTCAGTGCTACAGTTTGAGGCTAAACTGTACATTCACCTTCAGGGATGCTCCCTCCCATGGGCGAGGTGAATGGGTCTGCAGTAGCGTTCCACCCTCACAGCTCAAAACTTCACGGGAACGGGCGTAGTGCAGAGCTATCTGAGTGCTCAAGGTGTAGCGCTTGCGTCGATACCAAGATTCCGCAGAAAAACACCAACTAGCGATACAGCCAGAGAACAAACAGAAGTGAGAGAGCGCAGACAAATAGCGCGTTTGGCTATGATTAGGCGCGCGGCTGGCCGTGTGGCAGCGCGGAAGATTCCCAAACAGCACCCATGTAGCGCTACCCTCCAACTCCGTTCCAGTGCTCTTTTGACCATAGAATGTGGTACGCTACTGAGCATCTGCGGACCAAATCTTCCCGCACACGGCAAGGACCAGGTTCGGAGGTAAGTGTACAGTTTGTATGCAAGGGTCGAATCTCCATCATATGAGAGGGCAATCTCACCAACCTGTTCGTGTGGGAGACGATCACATGCTGCAACTCGCATCATTGGCCCACTCAGGCCCACTATCAATCTCCGTAATTTTAGGGCCGTTTGAAGGATATAGGTTGACTGGAGAAATATGAAGACCAACAAAAAACACAGCATTGTTGGCTTCCACAGCTTGTTGACACGAGTGATGTCATAATCGAAACTGTACATATAGCACACGATCTTGTAGATCGTTATGAAGTTCACTGTGAGATGAGCCGAACACCATAAGCTGGAAGAGAACAATAAGCTTCAAGCATTGAAGATGCACTGCACATTTTTTTCACTGCGTATGATGGGGTGTGTCAGTTAGGCCGAGTTTGGCGCGCCGCCTCTCCACCAGATGTTGAAGCAGATAAGCGAAAACAACAGCGCCTAACCCATCTTCCCTGACACACCCCATCATTCGCAGCGAACAAGGCTGTACAGCTGCTTGAAAGACAAGATCCTTTTGCTTAGAAAGTGAACACGTCCGAAGCCGCAGGATTTTCCCGAAGTGTTTCAGTCCCAGATCAGATTCCTTGCCGGCTAGTCCTGCCCTCCAAATTCTGCGCCCTTCAGAGAGCAAGCGAGAGCGCTTCAGAGAGCGGTTTAACATTTCCGGACCTGGTCTCCATAGTGAAAGAGACATGTGCGATGGGCGCTAGAGCAGCTGTACCACCCTCATGGTCTTGACAAATAGAGCGTGTGAAACGGGCTGTACGGACATCAAAGGACTCAGCCCTCAGCCCGTTCCTCTTCCTCCTGACTCTAGATGTCATGGCAAAAGAACTCATGGAGGGGCCACTGAAAACCATCCTCTACGCTGACGACATCGCCCTGATAGCGGACAGCAGGGAGAACTCCAGGACAAGGTGCAGCGGTGGCAGGATGTGCTCGCTGAGAATGGACTCCGGTTGAACGTGAAGAAGACCAAGTTCCTGAGCTCCGAAGAGTGTAACGAACCCATCGTAGACTGCCATGGCGAGAGCATCGAACACGAGAGGGCTTCAGTTGGGAGACCTAGCAGCTGATGGCAGCGTGCGAAGCAGGCCGGTGCATAGGCCCGACATCAACGCGCCTGGATGAAATGGAGGGAGTCCACTGGCATCCTGTCTGCGACCGGCGATGCTCTAGAACGCTCAAGGGCAAGGTGTACCGGGCTGTGGTAAGGCCTACAATGCCATTACGCAGTGAGTGCTGCTATCTGGCGCAGAACCATGAAAAGCAGCTCCCACTCGGCTGAAATGAGGATGCTGGATACGTATGGGCTGCGGCCTGGGCACGACATCGAAAGAGTCAAAAACGGAGCGTCAGTCTAGCGGTCAAACAGGGGACCGCTCGGAACCGGCCTGAAGGACCGAGAGCCATTGCGGATTGAGATGGCTATCCACGGTACTGGCACGAGAGAGCAACGTGCTGAGATGTATATGGGCCAGCTCCTGATTTAGCGCCTGAGGACCACCCAATGGAAGGCATTTGGAATACGGAAGCAGAGGCGAGCAAGCGACCACGAACAGCCCCGAGAAAAGGTGAAGGGTCGGCATCCAGAAGGGACTCACTGAGTGAAAGCCAGCAAGACTGCAGTGGATTGGACACAAGTGGCATCGTTCTAACTGAACAGCAAGAGAAGAAGAAGGAAGAAGAAGAGCGTAAGAAAAGAAGGTTTAAAGGGAGCGGACTCCCTAACTCGCTAGAAAAACCCTCTGCAAACTTCCTTGCCTACCTCTTCCCCTCTAAACCCCCTCCCCTACCCCAATTGGGAGGAAGTAGGTGGGATGGGGTAGGGGATAGATGGTACGACCCCACTGCTGCAACTGCTTATCTCTTCCCGGCGTGTTTCTAGAAATTCCTCCACGTTTTTCGCAGAAGGCTGCCGCTCGGAGCCCAGCATATGCCGTCCGTTTCCTTGCCTGTGCAGTGGGCACTTCATCGGGAAAAGCGAAAAAAGTTAGCATCCTGTTGACCAGAACGACCCCCCGCCTTCGGGGCGTGCGACGTGTCCTGGGTGCAAAGAGCCGCGGGTGGGCTCATTCCAGGTCTCGTAACACAGCCTCATTACTACGACTCTTTGCGAAGATTCAGCTGCAAGGCAAGAATCCGATTTCTAATGATTGGTGGGCTCGTTAACTGGTTCCGGAGGGAGAGGAGAGGGAGGGTGCGCAGTGAACTCAATTTTCCAACAGCGCCACGGTTCCCTCTGCTTATGCGTGTCATAGATCTTACCTTATCGGTCGATTGACGGCTTCGAAAAGCTTGAGGAGTTGTCCATGTCCGCGAATGTAGTGTCTAGCAACTGGTAGCTCAAATCGCAGATATCATATATAGATTTGAGATCTGACTAATTTATACGGAGTCTTGTTCGCTGCGCTAGGGAGGCCGTTCTTGGCGCGGTGCCAACCCTTTCTCTACCGACTGTTTTTTTTTCTCTTCAACAGTTGGTGGAGAACGAGTGTGGCGCCGCTCCAAGCGCATTCCACCTGACACGCCCCTTCAGCTGCAGCGAAACAGACCGTACAATCTCATCTCTTAATGATTACCTGGTGCTTGTTGCTGTCGTGGTTAAAGTCGCGATTAATATTTTGGAATTCTGCCGCCACACTTTCCACATAGCAGAATGCCGTACAGTTGGCAGACGGTGTGCAGAATAATACCAGGAATAGGGAAATGAGGTAGAAACAGCACCAGAAGGCTGTTAGCGATTTTTTGGGCAATAGGTCTATTACACCAACGAAGTCCACAACAAGTATAGCAAACACAACAGCCGCCCATGCACTGGCAATTGCAACAGTGACATTCTGCAAAACAAGTGCAAGCATTCATAACATCTGATGTTACCCATTTTTGTTATGGTGAACCTGCTTCGGAGGTATCTCAAGAACAAACGAGAAAAAAAAATGCTGTTCTAGTCCGTGTTCCCATGAATACCCATTAATTTTCCATGTCGGGATAAAAAAAATTCAAAAAACCCACCTTTCTACGCAACACTTGTTTCGCGTTCTTTATCGTTCCAATTCCAAATGAGCTCTTTTTCAAACGTTTAGAGTACTCCATCTCCATAGTAGAACGACTCCAATAGATTAAAAAGAAGAAGTCGATACAACCAATCAGGTAGATACAGTAATAGGCTGGTGGCATTGTACAGATCGATATCACCATGGCTATGCATATAAATGTAGTTAAAATGACCGTCCATGCCTAAAATTCTTGAATAGAAGAGTATTTTCAATAGCGAAGGCTTTGAGTACACTGCATTGAAACGTTAGCGCAGTGCAGATACCCCTTCCCCATTCTGGGCATCGATTGAGAATCCCACGTGGAGGTCGTATTTGGTTCCCGGAGAGGTGGCCCCAATAGGTGCCCACTCCTAGTTTCGCTGTCGAAAAAGCGCATCTACTAGTTGTTTTAAGAGGAGGAAAGAGTTGAAACCAGTGGTTGATTAGTGACGACCTCCTTTCTCCCCTTCTCCCTCCTCCCCGCCGTCTGCTTGATGGCTTGTAGGGGGCTCGGAGAATCGGGGAAGATGGGAAGTAAGATGGACCACGGCTTTCGCACGTACCATGTACAGGGCTTAATCTCTGTTCAATCGCTGAACCCCGGTAAGCCTCTTCTAAGCTCATGAAGAAGTTAGACATTGCGTTATTTGACCCTGAATGCTGGCCCGCGACCAGAGAAGGTTGAAGCCTGCCTCAGCGTGATAGATGACGGCGAGCGCCACGCGTGTGGATGGCCTAGTTACGTGAAGCTCGCCTCCAGTGGTACGGCCATGTGTTTCCCGAAAGCTCGAGGTACTCACGAAGCGCCCTAAAGGGCGCCTCATGTAACGCTGGCTCGACAGCTGCATGCAAATGTGAAGTTTGTCCCTATCAGGAATCCAATCGGGAGAAGTGGAGACATAATAAATCAAGAGCGGGACGAGCGTTAAAGAAGAAGAAGAACACAGGCCCAGATGACTCAAGAAAGCCATGTCAAAAGTATTTTACGGGAACAAAGAGCGGTGGAATGATCGATGGTGGTCGTTTGGCCAAGACTTCCCGCTCAGTCCACTGATGTAGGAAAAATGTCTACATATTTTTGATAAGCTTACTATTTGTAATCTTTGTTGAAGTTTTTGCCATCTATTTTTTGGAGTTTCGAAGGAGCTATGAAGAAGCAAACAGCAGCTTGTGAATCGAATCGGTCTGCACATTGATGAAAACTGAAATCAGCTAAAGAATGTATAGCTTACAAATCTGTACTATGATAACCTTGGGCGGGGAGGGGGGGAGGCATTTA